ACTATGAGAATATGGTTTGAAGATAATTCATGTCATAAGGGTTGATAACATTTGTGCTAGTGCACTCTCACATGCTATGTAATTTAATGATCATAAGGTTATTTGTATTGGTTATGTGCTACACTGTAATTATTATTGAAGTTTTGTAATCGTTTGGATAATATATTATATTGAATGTATTGTTATCATTGTGTAGATATATATATATATAATATCTTAGTTAAAAATTGTCCAAAGCAAATTTTTAATTCTCTAAGGAGAGAGTTGTAACGAATTTGTAATTATATATTCATTTGAATATCCACGTTTGTTTAGATTAAATTTATATTAAGAAACATACATGGCTTATACTGTTAAATAAGTATTACGAAACTCCCGTTGTAGAAGATTCTCGAGAGTAAGAATCAACAATATACGTGTGCACATGAACACTTAAATTGTATTTTTACGTAATCTGAATTTTCTAGAAAACCTTCCCATGGCTATAAATATAACCAACGCGACGCGCCAATCAGAGTATCTATTAATAGTTCGCTATAGTCAGTGTGCTATAAGCTTCAGAAGCTATAACTGTGATTGTTATAACGCTTATCAATCGGAAAACTTCAGATATTTGACCAGGAGCATTTACAAAGTTCGAACATTACAAATCATTTAACTTCGGTGGATTATCATCGGACATTAGTACTTTTACGAAAACATTACCTAACTTCAACGGTTGAAAACTCAGCGTGTGTGGCTGGTGAATAACGAAGGACAAAGCTAACTAGCTTCCCGTTAAGCGAATTGCACCTACGTCAACTCGTAATTAACTCAAAAAATCAAAAATGTTCCAGACTAGAAAGTATACTTTATATTGCTTGTAAGTTTGTGAAACTTTTGTTTATAAATCATTGTTTGTAGTAACTGTTATTGTAAATCGTATTGTTGTTTGTATATTAAAATATATTGTATTAAAAAAGAAAACCGTGTGTATCAATCTTGTTGGCAAATATCATAAATTGGATACATATCGGCATTTCTCTAACTACTAAATATAAATTATCATTTAGCTCAGTTTCAAACTATTGATATTGTAATACGTAACACTTTCTTTAATATATTTTTTATTACAGATACCACAAGAAATATTATAAACTACATGGTTTTTTCAGAAATGTCACCAGAAAGTCCAAGATTACATGTGATACATTTGTTCTTCTGACAGTGATCACTGGATTTAAATGTTAAACATACGAAATGCGACTTAAGCAAACATTCAGGCTTTTCTATCATACGTAAAGGAAAACCCGAGGAGAAATTTTATAAAATCCATTGAAAAGAATATCGTTTTGAGAAAAACCGAAAAAATACAATGATATATATACTGAGTGACTATTCTATTAGTATCACCTCTTTCACATTCACACACATTTGTAAAATACTCCATTTTTTCCCATGTGCCAAATAGACTGTCATGTGATGTGGTGCGCCACGTTACTGCTTGATTTATGTAAATACAGATATGATCATATGACGTTTATTCTACAAGAGAACGGTAAGAGCAACAAAATTTCCAACTTTCAAAGTGTTATGTTAGTGGATGCTCGTCTTGAAGGAGCTCAATATTATATAGCATTTATTTAACTAGTTGCTCAAAATCATTTGTCTCACCAGTGTATCAACAGTGGTAATTGAAAATGAAATACGTCCGCCAATAGGAAGAACTAGTAAACAAACAATAGTGACAAACAAAGGGGAAAAAGAAGAAGACAACTGAGCAGGCTTTTGAAGTAAAATAGAGGTCATTATGTTCCTCACTTGACCAGTTCCTTCAACAGTGGTCAGGAACAGCTGGACAATACAAAGGGCAGTACAAATCTGTCACATTGTAATAGACAACCAAACCAGCATCCACTTATATAAATAGAAAATCTTAGCTTAACAATAAAAAGAATAACGATACTTAAGATAAACAACTTTGTTTGTTTATAATAGAAGGGAACACAGATAAACGTTTCGGAATTCTACAAATTCCATTTTCAGTATCTAACGCAAAATATAAGAATTACATCATTCCTAAGTAAATATCTTAGATACATTGCTGCAATAACGATAATTTAATCAAAACTAAAACATATAGAAAGTGAAGGAGTAACAAATATAAATACTGTACAACTTAAAAGAAGACTGCATGTTATTCAGTGTAGGTGAAAGTTGTTTGATGTGGAGAGTTTCTTTAATTAATAATTCCAGATCAGTGTTGGTCTTGCAAAGGATACTGAAATTTAAAGTTATGTTTATCTCCTGTTTCTTCACTACGTTGGCGTATAGAGGAAACACAGGGGTTACTCAACTTTTTTTGTGTTTTCATGGAAATTCCCGTACGTTCATTGACTGTAGCTAGTAGATGGCATTTGGTTTTGCCAATATAGAAGGCCTTACGGTCTCCACACGTGTAAAGATATACAAGACATGAACAAAGAGAAATCGGGAAAAAGTATTTGGTAAGGAGAAAATCCTGTACTCATGATGCCAGTTTAAAAACAAATCTGAAGTTAACTTGAGAGGTAGTAACAATGATTTACACGTTTGATTTGACTTTTGAAAGTTAAGCTTTCTTCACCAATGTATGAAAGACAAGAGTATATAATAAGTTTGGGTACAGTCAGTAGTCTGGGTGGATTTGTGAGTTTCTTAGTTAGAAAGGCATTCATTATTTTTGTTATAAATGTTGTGAGTAGCCGTTACGTTTTAGAGTATCCTGTATGAGAGAAATTTCTGAATGTAAATTAATGCTACGTGGAACAGAGGTTATAAGCTATATTTAATAAGCACGTTAGAATATTTCTTTTGTACGTGAGTTGGATAAAGCTGTCAAATTGTGTAAGGAGTTCAATGACCTGCCTATGAGATTGTGCTTTAATACTCCACTGTGTTATGTGGAAAAGCATAATAGTGACTTCATCTTCCTGGAACAACAAATAACTTGATTAGAACATCTATCGGCATTTTGTTGGACCCATGCAACACCCTAATGGAAATGTGGCATTCTTAAGAATAGTTGAACTTCAAAATAATACTATTTACGTTATACACACCAACACAGTAGAACTTGACAATAATGCTATTTATTTGACTACCTGTGGATGGCCTAATAATTAGGATAAGACTGTCTTAACTATTTAGGTCTAAACAGACACACACATATCCAGTTAGAGAACAAAACATGACACTTCTCTAATTTTAGCCAATCAAACATAAGATTGCCAAATGGTCACTCTGTTCTTATAGGAAAGCTGGAATATAAATAGGTGAAGGTCAATTGCCACTAATTTTCAGTACAACAATACCGTAAGAATAAAAATATAATGCAATGTCCGTATGGCATGGAGAAACGTTACAATCTCAAAGCATAGGTTTACAGTGATCAAAACTAAATTCATGGAAGTATTACATACATTTTGAATACTATTGAAATAAAGTTATAGAAAGGCTAGCAGTTATGATTTGAATGACTACCACACAGGCTATTCAGACAGTAAAAGGTGTCCCCTCTTAATATTGTACAGGAATCTAATCTCTCTAATCTATTAGTTCAAAATTAGGGACGCTTATGAAACAGAAAACCATTTCTATAGCTTTGTGCGAAAAATTTAAAACCAATAAACATACCAACACAAACAAGTTCAAAGACAAGACGTACAAAAGCCATCAGATTTATACCTGACAAAGAGAAATAAAAAACGCTTTATTTTCATGGATAAAATATGCACTTTCAAAATAAACTGTTAGTAATTTAAGTAAAAGTTATTGTATTAGAATATTTTGTATAGTATATTCTGGACTGAAAGTTGTTCGTAAAAGAGGTTGTTGTTGCTGCGTTGTTTAGCACAAAGTTGTGCAATGGGCTATCTGCCGTCTGTCCACCGCTGACCCGTCGGGGGACCAAAATTACTTAATTAATTTTACACATCTTTTGCAGTACGTTAGATTCTTCTTTGTTTTGCGGGAACTTATTAAATTTTATTTTTGGCGTAAGAGTTTTGAACTCAATCTTATTAAAATTAAATATATTCCTAAACTTGTTTTGAGTTTCAAGATATACATGCTTAAGATCTCTGTGATTTAACTGAACTTAGGCTAGATCTCGATATTCCTCCTTCTTATAATCATCTGAAAATGTTTATTTGATTATTTATTTCAATCATAGTATTTGATGTAAACTGAGTTTTCTAAGGACTTCTCCTGCCATTTGTTTCTTGATTTCGACGCCACGGTTCTTGCTCCTTGCGGAGTCATGGAGTCTCAAACGTCGGCTCGAATGTAAGAAAAAATGGTGTGAGCTATACATAGAAAACACAGTCCTATGTTTATCACACTGCCTAAATCTGCTTAGTAACAGTATTTGAAGTTATTCGCAGTGTTGTTAAAAGCATTTATTTCCAATAAATTTATGATAATCTGTTATCAGTTTTAAATGTATTAAACCAATTGGACCTTTTGTTGTAAATATCAACTATTTACGGATAATTTAAATCTTGATTAACTACCCCTGTAATTGTCGTAATCATATTTGGCTAACTCTTTACATAAACATATTTACTGGTAGTTTACAAGTAGTAGGTGAGGATTTAGCTCTTTTTTTTAAAGAAATTGCAGATTTAGGATTTCTAATAGAACTAAAAAGGCAGAAGTTTTGAAGTGTATTGAAACAATCTATTTGTAATATCATTCTTTTATTAGATATAAATTACGTTACATTTAATATTTTCAGGCTTTGCAATATAGAAATCTTGCAACAAAGATGCCATATAATATTTGAGCTATTGAATTTTTATTTATGATATTTAGAGTTAAAAATATATGTTAAAGTCAAAATCATGTGCTTTGTCATACCAGCCTAGGCTAGATGACATATCACTTGAAATAAATTTTTAAATATTTGTTTTTTCATTTATACACATACGTTTTGTGAAATAGAAATATATTGGCTGAAAACCTTTTTTCAACAGCACGTCAGTATTTCCTGATAGTTCATGCGTAACCTAATGTGACAGCGATTCTTCACAGTTCTATCAGAAACGAATTTAGAATGTCGGTGAAAGAAAACGAGCAGAGTTCTCCGGATTTAAACCGTGAGTGCGAGTTTGGAGAAAAATTATTCCCAACAAAAGCTTTCGATCAGGAGTATGAAACTAAACGACCTTCGGGAGAATTTCCAGAAAACAGTTCACTTATAAAAGAAAATGGCATTGCAGGTGGTGGAGAAGCAAAAGAATCAAACCTGTCTACGCAAGAAAAGGCAGGGGTGCCACTAAATCTACCAAAGGTTAACCTTCCAATACAATTCAAATCCACAAGCTATGAAATATTGTCCGCCACACAGAAATTTAAAGGGCAAGAGAAAAATGCAGCGGAATTTAGCTGCAGTAGAAGATACAGTGCACCACCGAATAATGGTAAACACACGCGAACTTCATCCATTGAAAATAATATAGGTTATGAAACTGAATCAAGCTCATGCAAAAGCCAATCAAATAAAATGCATCCTTTACTTTATGGAAGTGATACTAGTCTTAGTCTCGATACCAGCGGTTTCCAGCGTTGTTTACCACAGTGTATGCGTTATGTCTTCGCTGACCAAGAGGCCGAGCGTTTGTATAGAGAATATTACCAAAATGAAAAGAAGAACGACTTTAAACTGTGTTTAATATTGATGTTCGTTACTGACTTGGTACTTTTGTGTTTGCACAGCTATTCATTTCGCATTAATCATATAGCTCACCTGATTGTGCTTGTACTTGTGGCACTGGTAGATGCAGGTACGTTTCTGATGTGTATCTCTAATGACATGCCCGATTGGATATGGACGATTATTCCTTTTATTGCTTGGTTTCTTCAAATGGCTCAGGTATTGTGTGACATGTGGTTCTACGACATTCCTATTCTTCCTAGTGACTCAGTGCCATGGGTTCTTCTGTATACCTATATAATTTACGTACTTTTTCCCGTGAGAATACGTATTTGCATTACTCTCGGTGTCGTAATGGCTTTCTTTCACGCTCTTCTTGTGATATCTGCACCCGGAAAAACAGAATACCTTGGTAATCAGGTATGTATAAATTGTATATTTCTTTGAAACTTCAGATTTTATCAGATATCTCCTTTAAGTCATACAAAAATTAGTAATGTATATATATCCAATAGCCGTATAAACACAAATTATATCTTGTGTTGATTGTATCATCAACAAGCCGTAAAACCTATTATATTAGTGAATGAAGTTAATAAAACAAATATGCCTTTCTTATAGGCTGATTAAGGAAATTCGCTTAGAATGTTTAATTGTTTTGAAGTTAAGCATAAAGCTACACAATGGGTTATCTGTGCTTTGCCCACCACGGGTATCGGAACCCGGTTTCTAGTGTTGTAAATCCGCAGACATGCCGCTGTGCCTCTGGGAGGCTTCTGCTTGTCATGTAGTTTTGTATTCTTATACAGTTTAATCAATTTGTCATTCTTGGTCTTACATAAAGACGGCTAATTCCAATGCACAGTTTTTTTTTCAGTATGATTAGTTTATTGTATTGTGCGGTGTAATTAATTCTAGTAAAGTATAACGGAAATGAATATTTTAAGGATATTTACAATTTAAACCGTAATTTTCCTAGTTATCTACCAATAAAATCACTACGATAAAAAATGTAAAATAACAATAAATTTCAATTTTTTTTTAAGAAATGAATTTCTACATGGTAATTCCTTAAGGCTCCCTGTAAAAGCATTTACAGTTTGTCTCACGTAGCCACTGGATTCTAAGGAAACATCTATGTTACACGATCACATCAACTAACACCTACCCTAGGAAACAGACAGGTTTAAAAAAATCTGTTTTTCGTTTCTGTGGCATCTAAAGTCTTAATAAAGTCTTAGTAATTTCCAATTGATTTCTGAACACAAGCACACACACGCGTGATCACAGCGTTACAAAACAAACCTTAACAAAATCGTATCATGTATTCTATAAATGATGGTTTTGTTTCGTATAATTGTATATGAAAACAAACACAGAATATCCACAGTGTCGAAATGGTATCGTTTTATTTTATCTTCAGTAAATGCATGCATAGTAGGATGTTTGTATAAATGTTAGCAATCGACGTAATGTAACATGTTATTTGTCGATTCAGTTATTAATTGTGATTCTAATAACTGATTCATAGACGTAGTTTCTATCTATGATTAAATGTTAACTTAAAATACTAATCCTTAAATTATCAACTGTTTTTATATCGTCACTACGGCACGATCCATACATTGTAGCATATAGAGTAATATAATTTCAGAAAAGTTTGTTTGTCTTCTAACTTATCATAAACTTTTGCATTTGGACCTGTCAAATACGGTTTAATCAACTATAAATGTTTCGAGATATGTCAATAAGAAGCTGTTTTTTTTTTAAATACATAGATTTCATAGCTTCAGTGTTGACTAAATATAGATCAGTCAGTGGGAGTGACCATTGCGGGTACTGATGGGATTTCTCCAGTTTCCTCTTTCATTACCTGTGGTATACATACAGTCTATGTACTTGCAATCATTACTGGAGTATTTAGGGCAAAAACAGAAACACTAATTATATTCAATAATTCTACAATTGCATTTCATTTTCGAATCCCATCAATCATTTGAGGGATTTCTTTTCACACATTGTTTATACATACTTTCAAGATAGACACACTTACATTAAGTGAGATGTTTTAAAGTCACATTTTACTTATTGCTTTTAGATAACTAAAAAAATGTATATTTAAATAATCAAGCCCAGTAGACATGAATAATGTTATTCTTATGCACTTTCAATCTATATTGTCCATGGAATATTTCAGAAAAAAACAACTTTCATAAACCTTTCACCGTGCATCGAATAGATGCATCTGCAAATATTGAGTAATATATTGTTGCCTGTTACAATATTTGCTGTAAAGAACTGCCCAAAATAATGTAATAAAATCACTCGTTTTCTAATTGAAAAAAATTGAAAATCCAAACGGTAATTAGTGGGATTATTTGCAATATTCATGATATTTTTGTTTAAATTTTTTTGTGTGACTCGTACGTTATTAGAACCCCTCTAACCAACAAACTCATAAACCCATAATAAATTTAGTGCCTAAATAATTTAGAAATATGTCTTTAGATAGCCAATAGGGTTGGCTTCATCGATAATACTAAAGTTAAGAAATATCAATAAATGAAAACTGAAGTCATAAAAATCTAGTTCATGAACTCAGGCAACGAAGCCATAGTCCAGTAATTGGCATATCTTTAGCTACTAAAAAGCAGACTGAATTTACTTCGAAACAATTGTTCAATGCTTCATTATTATATAGAAAATATCACAGCCAAAAGAACGAACGTTGATAGATCAGTTTCTGTTATAACATTCAATGATCTTTCAAATATGCCATCAGGCATCAGTTTCCATCTCATTAAGTGTTACTTCATTGAAATTAACGTACGTTTAGTATAAACCATTAAATTATTTACGCTGCTAAGATTGTTTGTTTTTTAATTTCGCGCAAAGCTACACGAGGGCTATCTGCGCTCGCCGTCCCTAATTTAGCAGTGTAAGACTAGAGGGAAGGCAGCTAGTCATCACCACCCACCGCCAACTCTTGGGCTACTTTTTTACCAACGAATAGTGGGATTGACCGTCACCTTATAACGCCCCCATGGCTGAAAGGGCGAGCATGTTTGGTGTGACGGGGATTCGAACCCACGACCTTCAAATTGCGAGTCGAGCGCACTAACCACCTGGCCATGCCGGGCCCGCTGCTAAGTGAAATTCAGTACATATATTCATATTTCTAATAAAAATATTTAAACTGTTTTTTATTGGTCAGACAACTATTTAGCTCTTTCCATGTTGGACGTCATAAACTATTAAAGTTTAAGATTAGGTTTTTTCAAACCTAAATATTTCAGTTGTTTTTTAGGATCGAACCCTTCGAGATTATATTTTGTTTAATGCTAATATACATATTGTGAATATTTTAGTGTCCATACCATTGTAAAATACATTTAAACTAAAATTTGTTTAAAAAAATGTTATTTTCAGTTCATACTGCTCAGTTTGCTGTTTAGCTAAAGATATAGACCCACTGAATGAGTAGGTTAAAATAAACTGTAACAACTATAGACAATTAAAAACATCCCGATAATATGATAAAAAAATAAAAACACAAAAATGTTAAATCAACTCCCGTTAATGTGATAATTTTTTGTTTGTCGTGTTAATTATATTCAGTAACGTACGTTACGAATACACTTTTAAGTTAACTTTTGTCAATAAACAAACATAGCCCATGTATAATATTGTGGTACCATAAAGAAAAACAATAGTTGGGGTTGTTATTGATATTAGGATTACTCAACCAAATGGCTTTATGGAACTACAAAAAAGAACTAGCTGTCGAAAGGTGTTCAGTAAATTGTAACTAATGAATGATCTAGTCAATAGCTCAATATCTATTACATATTAGCAGATTTTCTCTGGAAACACGATAATACAAAACTTCATACTGCAAGTCAAGTAATGATTACAACTGAGAAGTTCGTATGGACAATTCTAAGGTCCCCTTACTCTAGGATCCTATGACTTCCATGTTTTTATTGATCATCGAAAAATGTTCTGCGTTTAAAGCACTTACAGACAACTGAAATTCTTAAAGCAACTGTGCGCAATTGCATTAGTAAGGTCATGCTTGCATTTTACCGAATTAGGATGATGACGTAACGATTGAAGAAATGTACTGTACTGAATGTGATAACGTGTAGAAGTGAGGTCTTGGTGCCCACATCTTCGTAACCATTGTTGCACATTTGATGGCTGTAATTTGGTATAGTTGGCCCATATAAAATAAAATCTCGTTTCCTTCCAAGCAACCGTATTATTAGTTCTAGCGATCTGAAGAAAGAAATTCGCATTGAAATAGTTCTCAATACTTTCGACGAAATTTCATTCATATTTAACAAGCAAGTTCAAAAACAAGGATTGCAGTACATCTCTCCTCTGCACTCATTCTATGATTTGTACCCTAGGAAATGAAGGGCGCTTTTGGTGACGTTTTCAAAGCTGTAATTGAGAGTATCCTCTCAGAAAGTTGATTTTTTTGCTTAAAAACCTTGCCAAGTTGTAAATGCCAGTATCTGTATTTGAGAATTTAAGGTAAAGAAAAAAGCATTACGCTAGGTTCTGAGTGCCAAGGCCTCACTTTTCTAAAATTATATCATTCATAATGCCATCTATTTTTAAAAACCTTAAATAATTGGGTAACATATTTACAATACGTAAATTTTTAAGCTTACTTTAGTTATATAAAAGTTAAAAATTTTGTTGATGTATTCAACCTTATTGAGGATGACAGTATTATTTCATTTGTCAAGTCGTCATTATGTTCTTGTTTTTTGTTGTTGATTTTGTAACTCCGACAAATCAGAAACTTTTCCTTAGAAAGAATGTGTTTGTTTTGTTTTTGAATTTCGCGCAAAGCTACACGAGGGCTATCTGCGCTAGCCGTCCCTAATTTA